ATAGAGAAGAGGAATCTGAAAATCTAAAACTCAAACACAAAAACGAGATCATGCTAAATACCAGCCACTTTCTTCCACACTTCTAAGCAGCCAAAAAACACCCTGGCCAACACTCTCTAAAACCCCTGGGGCTGGCTTCAAGTGTGGCAAGGAAGGACACCCAGCAAGAGCCTACCCCATCCCCAAGCTCTGTTGAGGCCATGCCCAGCGTGTGGGGACAGGGTACATTGGAAGTCCCAGTGCCCCTTTCTCTGGAGTCAGAGTCACTCCTTCCAACCCCAGACTCGAACTGACGATCTTTCCCCAGAGTGCTGTGGATTCAGCAGGCCTGGGTTCAAAGGCACCCACCACTGCCATCACCAGTGAGAATTTATCTTTTAATTTCATTTCATTTTCCATGACCTTTTGAAGTATCTTTATATTTCTTCACAATATGAATGAATTAATGATGCAAGAAACAAACTTGGAAGAATGGAACATTTTGTGAAGTAAAGTCAGATATAATAAAATATATGCAAATATAAATATGTTGATATGAAGTTCTGGAGAACTGATTAAAATATACAGATATCATAGCTACGCATCCCCCAAAGTAGAGATAGAAAAAAGCAAATGATTATTGTGTAAGCCCATAATAAGTTATTAATACTTATTCTATTTTTTTTAACTTTTACTTAATGGATATAGATTTCCAAAGTACAGCTTAAGGACTACATTGGCTTCCCCACCCCACCCTGATGACTTCCCTCCCACCCGAAACCCTCCCCTTTCTTGCTCTCTCTCCCCTTCCATTCATATCAAGATTCATTTTCAATTTTCTATATATACAGAAGATCAGTTTAGTATATATTAAGTAAAGATTTCAACAGTTTGCATCCACATAGAAACACAAACTGAAAAATACTGTTTGAGTACTCGTTATAGCATTAAATCTCAATGTACAGCACATTAAGGACAGAGATCCTACATGAGGAGTGAGTGCACAGTGACTCCTGTTGTTGACTTAACAATTTGACACTCCTGTTTATGGCATCAGTAATCTCCCTATGCTCCAGTCATGAGTTTCCAAGGCTATGGAAGCCTTTTGAGTTCTCCGACTCTTATCTTATTTAGACAAGCCCATAGTCAAAGTGGAAGTTCTCTCCTCCCTTCAGAGAAAGATACCTCCTTCTTTGAAGACCTGTTCTTTCCACTGGGATCTCACTCACATAGATCTTTCATTTAGGTGTTTGGTGGTTTTTTTTTGTTTTTTTGTTTGTTTGTTTGTTTGTTTTTTTTTTTTTTTTCCAGAGTGTCTTGGCTTTCCATGCCTGAAATACAATCATGGGCTTTTCAGCCAGATCCGAATGCCTTTAGGGCTGATTCTGAGGCCAGAGTGCTGTTTAGGACATCTGCCATTGTATGAGTCTGCTGTGTTTCTCGCTTCCCATGTTGGATCGCTCTCTCCTTTATTTACTCTATCGGTTAGTATAACAGGCACTAGACTTGTTTATGTGATCCCTTTGACTCTTAGTCCTTTCATTATGATCAATTGTGAACTGAGATTGATCACTGGGACTAGTGAGATGGCATTGGTACATGCCACCTTGATGGGATTAAATTGGAATCCCCTGGTATGTTTCTAACTCTACCATTTGGGGCAAGTCAGCTTGAGCATGTCCCAAATTGTACATCTCTTCCCTCTCTTATTCCCACTCTTATATTTAACAGGGATCACATTTCATTTAAATTTCAACACTTAAGAATAACCGTGTATTAATTACAGAATTAAACCAGTAGTATTAAGTAGAACAGACAAAAAAAAAAAACTACTAAGAGGGATAATGTATTAAGTTGTTCATTAACAGTCAGGGCTATGTTGATCAAGTCACCGTTTCTCATAGTGTCAATTTCACTTCAACAGGTTTCCTTTTTGATGCTTGGTTAGTTGTCACCGATCAGGGAGAACATATGATATTTGTCCCTTTGGGACTGGCTTATTTCACTCAGCATGATGTGTTCCAGATTCCTCCATTTTGTTGCAAATGACTGGAATTCATTGTTTTTTTTTTTTCTGCGGTATAGTATTCTAAAGAGTACATATCCCATAATTTCTTTATCCAGTCTACCATTGATGGGCATTTAGGTTGGTTCCAGGTCTTGGCTATTGTGAATTGTGCTGCAATAAACATTAGGGTGCAGACCGCTTTTTTGTTTGCCAATTTAAACTCCTTTGGGTAAATTCTAAGGAGTGGGATGGCTGGGTCGAACGGTAGGGTTATCTTCAGGTTTCTGAAGAATCTCCAGACTGACTTCCATAGTGGCTTGACCAGTTTGCATTCCCACCAACAGTGGGTTAGTGTCCCTTTTCCCCCACATCCTCGCCAGCATCTGTTGTTGGTAGATTTCTGAATGTGAGCCATTCTAACTGGGGTGAGGTGAACCTCATTGTGGTTTTGATTTGCATTTCCCTGATTGCTAGTGATCTTGAACATTTTTTCATGTGTCTGTTGGCCATTTGATTTCCTCTTTTGAAAAATGTCTATTGAGGTCCTTGGCCCATTTCTTAAGTGGGTTGTTTGTTTTGTTTTTGTGGAGTTTCTTGATCTCTTTGTAGATTCTGCTTATCAACCCTTTATCTGTTGCATAGTTTGCAAATATTTTTTCCCATTCTGTCGGTTGTCTCTTCACTCTCCTGACTGTTTCTTTTGCAGTACAGAAACTTCTCAATTTGATGCACTCCCAATAGTTGATTTTGGCTTTGACTGCCTGTGCCTCCCCGGTCTTTTCCAGAAACTCTTTGCCTGTGCCAATATCTTGAAGGGTTTCTCCAATGTTCTCTAATAATTGATCGTGTCAGGTCATAGATTTAGGTCTTTAATCCATGTTGAGTGGATTTTTGTGTAAGGTGTAAGGTAGGGGTCTTGCTTCATGCTTCTGCACATGGAAATCTAGTTTTCCCAGCACCATTTATTGAACAGACTGTCCTTGCTCCAGGAATTGGTTTTAGATCCTTGATCAAATATGAGTTGGCTGGAGATGTTTGGGTTGATTTCTGGTGCTTCAATTCAGTTCCATTGGTCTATCCATCTGTTTCTGTAGCAGTACCATGCTGTTTTGATTACAACTGCCCTGTAGGGAAACTTGTTTGTACCAGTACACCCCCCCACACACACCAATTTTTTTTTTTCCTTCTCTCCTGTAGTCAGTCTGGTGAACTTTCCCGCCTCAAAGCCCGCTTCCCTCTAGATTCTGTCCACCATTTCCCTGCCAATGTCTCCGGTTACTGAGCTCACCTCCCCTTACAGCGCCGATGTGTGGACTTGGAGCCCTGGGCACCCTTGCTCTCCCCGCTGGTGTCTCTGTGACATCCACTCCCCTTCCCGCACTGGCGCACAGATCCTGTGGCTCCCGTCTGCGCGGTGGGCGACCTTGCTCTGCCAGTAGGTCCTCCAAGTCACAGCCACTAGATCCGGAAGAGTTTCCTCTGCAATTTTTTCCTGATCCTTTTTCTGAGGCTACCATAACTCCACTTTTATTAAACTAAATTTTCCCGGACTATCAGTGCGCACCCTCACTATTCTGCCATCTTGGCTCCGCCCCCCATACTTATTCTAAATCTATAGTAATTAAGATAAAACACTTGGGAAAATTATTTACAAATAGTATAAGATAGAATATCCAGAAGAATAGCTAATATGTAATCATTTAACATATGAGAAAGGTACAATAACAGAGTACTGGGAAAATGTCATTTCCCATAATTTTAAAAAAGGAATTATGGTTATTAGTTTGCATGAAAATAAATTCAAAATGGATTAAATATATGAAAAAGGATACCATTACTTCTTAAAATAAAATTCAATATAATGTCACTAGGTTTTAAAGAAGAGAAATAATACTTTAGAAAGAAACAGATTAATCATAAAAATACTTATAATTTTATAATAGAACAATTTCTCTTTAGAATATAATGAAAAGAAAAACACAAGCCACAGAAAACAAGGACATATTTACAATACATATAATTGAAAGAGGATTAACATGTAGAATGACTAAGATTCTTCAGCATAAAAACCCTTAAAAAGGTAAATTTAAATAACCATCACACTAGATTTCACAGATTAGAATAATTTACTGCCATTGACCTATGAATATACATGTCTAACTCAAGTAATAGGAAATGCCCATTAACACTACCATGCTATAGCATTTTATAGCCACTCTTTCTGTAAATATTAAAGTGGGTTATCACTTGATCATTAGCCAGACCAACAAGGAAATGTACATATGAGTGTACACTGGTACACCCATTTTAGGAAAACCTTGTAAGGCAGAATGTAAACCATGTCTGAGAAAAACCCATTTCTAGTTATATATGCTAGGGAAACTCGGTCACAGTACAGTGGAAAGTACTTAAATGCACGAAGGTCATTTTTTTTTTTGTGAAAATGGTATTATTTTCTATTTTAAATTAAATTTTTTTTGACAGGCAGAGTTAGACAGTGAGAGAGAGAGAGAGACAGAGAGAAAGGTATTGCTTCCCTTGGTTCACACACTAAGTGACCGGGATGGCTGGCGTGTTGCGGCCAGTGCACTGTGCCAATCCAAAGCCAGGAGCCAGGTGCTTCCTCCTGGTCTCCCATGGGGTGCAGGGCCCAAGCACTTGGGCCATCCTCCACTGCCTCCCGGGCTACAGCAGAGAGCTGGACTGGAAGAAGAGCAACTGGGACAGAATCCGGCGCCCCAACCGGGACTAGAACTCAGGGTGCCAGCACCACAGCAGAGGATTAGCCTAGTGAGCTGCGGTGCTGGCCTAAATTAAAATTTTATGACAATTTTGAGTCAACTGAGTTAGAGACTTTTAATGTGTATCTGTTTTTCAAGATTTATTTTAATTATTTGAAAGGTACAGTTATTGAGAAAGAGGGAGAGATGGAGAGATGTATCTTCTTTCTTCCCACTGGAGAAGAGTATTAGGAAATGATGAACATACTGAGGTCTCAGAGCACTTTACTTACTGACACGTATGCACTTGGGGAGAGGGGACCAGCCATTCTCTGTACATGTGATTTCGGTCTGCTCATTTGGAAGACTATAGCCCGGATAGCAGTCAACTTTCACAGATTCATTCTGTAAATATGCTCTTTCTGAAGACGGACGATATCCATTTTCCACATAACTGAAAGTACATTTTCCTAGGGATCATAAAAATGTTGTAAAAGGTAAGAGTAGTAATTTGGTCAAAATCATAAGTTATAAATTACCTTTATAATATTTAAATGATAAAGTACATGTATCCAAAAATAATCTATAATTAAGAAAACTAAAACTACTATTAAATGCTTATTAAAAAAGAAAGATCAATATTCCATGCTATGTATCTTTAGTTTTATAATCACTATATACATAAAAGGTATCGAGATTCTTGTAAAAAATCTCAATATTTGTCACATGATATTTATGAAGAGCTCTTTATAAAAGAAAAATCTATTGAGGTCATTTGTTGTAGAATTCTTCTTTCATTTTATTTTTCATATTTATTTGTCTATTTCTCAGTTTATTTATTTATTTGAGAAGCTGAGAGAGAAGGAGAGTGAGAGAGATAGCGACAGGAGGGGAAGCTTCTATCCATTGGCTCACTCTTCCACTGTCTGCAATAGCTGGGAATGGGCCAGCTGAAGCCAGGAGCCAGAAACCCAATCCAAGTCTGCCACGTGGGTGACATGCATCCGGCTACTTGAGCCATCCACTGCTGCATCCAGGAATGCACATTCACAGGAAGCTGGAATTGGGGCAAAATCGGGACTAAAACTCGGGCACTCTGAAACAGGAAGCGAGTGATCCAGAGGTGTCTGACCACTAGGCGAAGGCTCACCTTCCTGGGTTCTGTTCTTGTCATGCAAGCCTTAGTTGTTAGCACTAATGTGCTCTTCTTTGCACTCTTGGGAATATTTATGTAAATCTAACTGCTAAGACAGGTACTTACTGAGACAGGGCACTTCGGGTGACCATCCTTCTTTGGTGCAATGAATGTAATCCCAGTATGAATTTGAAGGAGTCACAAAATCGGGGTTGCAGTGATAGCTATAATAGTTTCCTACAGCTACTGGAAAGTATGGTCTATATCTGTCTTCATAATACAGACGTCCATGATTTATTTGTGGAAAATCACAGGGTTTCACTTTCAATAAGAAACAAAAAAAGTACAAATAATCTTTTACTTTATAGAACAATCACATCAGAGTTGAATCATTTGGTCAATGAATTATATTCTCTTAATACCATAATTATACCCATTGAAATAAGGTTTTTAGAATAAGGCAAGTTATAGAATTCAGATGACTGGCGGGGGGACTCTTTGTTAATGAAAATGAAAATGTGTCTTGTCATTCATAAGGATCTACAAATTAGTATAAAGAGTTCAGAAAAAAAGGGCACAGACTTATACTACAAATTCTCCTCGAGTACATATGACATATCCTCACTCCAGCTAATTAAATGAACATTCTTGTTAAGAGGTGAAGGTATGGGAGAGAGGCAAGATGGTGGAATAGGAAGGGAGCACATTGATAGTCCGGGGAGAGACAGTTTAATAAAAATGGAGATACTGCAGGTTCAAGGAAGAGTAGGGAAGGAAACAGAAGAAGAAACTCTTCCGGAACGCGTGATTCACAGCGGACCTGCGTGGAGAGCGTGGGAGCCCACAGTTCGGGACACCAGCAGCAGACTCAACACACCAGCGCTGGAACGCGAGGTGAGCCGAACCTCAATAGCCTGAGACACCGGCAGGCAAGCGGAAAGAGGAGACTAGAGGGAACGACCCCTGGGGGGGAAAAGTTCACCAGGCTAACTGGAAGAGAGAGAGAGAGAAAAAAAAAAGGTGACTGGTACGGACACGGGTTTCTCTCTCTCCGCTCACCTCTCAAGGGCGAGCAAGACAAAGAGCAGGCGCCATCTTGGACATACGTCATAAGCAGAGCGACCTCAGGTCTGCACCGGCCCTGAGCCTAGCAGAAAAACCTGACTCTGGGTGGGGCGAATTAACAGGAGATTAGGACCTAGTAAATTTGTGGTGCTACTGAACTGAGACTGTGAAAAAAGAGACGGTGGGGGAGAGAACTCACAGAACTCACATTCACGTGAGTACTCTCCAGAGACGCTACAATTACATAACTTTGGCAACCCAGTGGGAGACTGAAGGAGAATCTGAGCCCACTCTGAGGGCAGAACAGATTCCCTGTGTGGTCCTTGGGAAAGAGCTTCTGATCTCTGGCTCCTGTGGTTATATCATTTGCCTGCTAACTACCTCCAACTTCGTTCAGCTGTGCGGAATTACTTCCCTTTTGAATCAAAGAAAGAAAGAAAGAGAGAGAGAGAGATCTACTACGCCTAACGTGGGAGTGTCACCTTTGGCACACCAAACAGAGCTCTCAGGCCACACCCATCTCAAGCCTCTAAGGCTCCATCAAAAACAGACAGTCCACTTAATCTAGAGTCATAGTATAACAAGAAAAAACACCACAGTGAAGAAACCAAATATCTCCAATATGCCAAATAACAAACGCAAAAACCGAGGTAATAAAAACAAGGAAGTCACCATGACACCCCCAAATGAAAAAGACACTCCAATTCAAGATTATGAAGATGATGAGTTAGAAGAAATGCAAGAAGCAGATCTCAAAAAATTGATAAGAACATTAAGAAGTTCTCAAAAACAAATTCTTGAACTAAAGAAATCCTTAATGGACAAGGTAGAAAATCTCTCTCGTGAAAATGAAATATTAAGGAGGAATCAAAATGAAACAAAACAACTAGTACAACAGGAAACTGGGATAGTGACGAGAAATCATAATGAAGTGAAGAATTCAATAGATCAAATGAAAAACACAGTAGAGAGCCTTACAAACAGAATGGGTGAAGCAGAAGAGAGAATATCGGACTTAGAAGACAGAGAACAGGAAAGGATACAGTCAGACCAAAGAAAAGAAGAGGAAATTAGAAATCTAAAACATATTGTCAGGAATCTGCAGGATACTATTAAAAAAACCAACATTCGGGTTCTAGGAGTTCCTGAAGGCATGGAAAGAGAGAAAGGATTAGAAGGCCTTTTTAGTGAGATATTAGCAGAAAATGTCCCAGGTTTGGAGAAAGACAGAGAAATGCTAGTACAGGAAGCTCATAGAACCCCTAATAAACACGACCAAAAGAGATCCTCACCATGACACATTGTAATTAAACTCTCCACAGTGAAACATAAAGAAAAGATCCTAAAATGTGCAAGAGAGAAACGTCAGATTACTCTCAGAGGATCTCCAATCAGACTCACAGCTGACTTCTCATCAGAAACCCTACAAGCTAGGAGGGAATGGCAAGATATAGCCCAGGTACTAAGAGAGAAAAACTGCCAGCCCAGAATATTATATCCTGCAAAGCTATCATTTGTGAATGAAGGTGAAATAAAGACTTTTCATAGCAAACAGAAATTGAAAGAATTTGTCGCCACTCGTCCAGCCCTGCAAAAGATGCTTAAAGATGTGTTGTACACAGAAACACAGAAACACGGTCATCAATATGAAAGAAGGTGAAGGAAGGAAACCTCACAGCAAAAGATCACAGGGAATTCAAAGCATATATTAGAACTTACCTTTGGCAAATGGCAGGGCAAAGTTACCACTTATCATTAGTCACATTGAACGTTAATGGCCTGAACTGTCCAGTTAAAAGACACAGATTGGCTGATTGGGTTAATGAACAAAACCCATCTATTTGCTGCTTACAAGAAACACATCTTTCCAACAAAGATCTATACAGACTGAAAGTGAAAGGCTGGAAAAAGATATACCATGCCAACAGAAATGAAAAAAGAGCAGGCATAGCCATCTTAATATCGGACAACATAAACTTTACCACAAAAACTGTTAAGAGAGACAAAGAGGGACACTATATAATGATTAAGGGATCAATACAACAAGAATATATAACAATTATCAATGTATATGCACCTAACTACAGGGCACCGGTTTATCTAAAAGATTTGTTAAGGGACATAAAGGGAGACTTAGACCCCAATACAATAGTACTGGGGGACTTCAATACTCCACTCTCAGAAACAGACAGATCAACAGGACAGAAGATCAACAAGGATACAGTAGATTTAAATGACACTATAGCCCAAATGGATCTAACAGATATCTACAGAACTTTCAATCCTACAGCTAAAGATTTTACATTCTTCTCAGCAGTACATGGAACCTTCTCTAGGATTGACCACATACTAGGCCATAAAGCAAGTCTCAGCAAATTCAAAAGAATTAGAATCATACCATGCAGCTTCTCAGACCATAAAGGAATGAAGTTGGAAATTAGCAACTCAGGAATCCCTAGAGCATATGCAAACACATGGAGATTGAACAACATGCTCCTGAATGAATAATGGGTCATAGAAGAAATTAAAAGAGAAATAAAAAATTTTCTGGAAGTAAATGAGGATAACAGCACAACATACCAAAACTTATGGGATACAGCAAAAGCAGTGTTAAGAGGAAAGTTTATATCAATAGGTGCCTACATCAAGAAATTGGAAAGGCACCAAATAGATGAGCTTTCAATTCACCTCAAAGATCTAGAAAACCTACAGACATTCTTCTCAGATCTAGAAAAAATGATGCTGAAATTTATATGGAGACACAGGAGACCTCAAATAGCTAAAGCAATCTTGTTCAACAAAAACGAAGCCGGAGGCATCACAATACCAGATTTCAGGACATACTACAGGGCAGTTGTAATCAAAAGAGCATGGTACTGGTACAGAAACAGATGGATAGACCAATGGAACAGAATTGAAGCACCAGAAATCAATCCAAACATCTACAGCCAACTCATATTTGATCAAGGGTCCAAAACCAATCCCTGGAGTAAGGACAGTCTATTCAATAAATGGTGCTGGGAAAATTGGATTTCCACGTGCAGAATCATGATGCAAGACCCCTACCTTACACCTTACACAAAAATCCCCTCAACATGGATTAAAAACTTAAATCTACGACCTGACACCATCAATTTATTAGAGAGCATTGGAAAAACCCTTCAAGATATAGGTACCGGCAATGACTTCTTGGAAAACACCCCAGAAGCACAGGCAGTCAAAGCCAAAATTAACATTTGGGATTGCATCAAATTGAGAAGTTTCTGTACTGCAAAAGAAACAGTCAGGAAAGTGAAGAGACAACCGACAGAATGGGAAAATATATTTGCAAATTATGCAACTGATAAAGGGTTGATAACCAGAATCTACAAAGAAATCAAGAAACTCCACAAGATCAAAACAAACAACCCATTTAAGAGATGGGCCAAGGACCTCAATAGACATTTTTCAAAAGAGGAAATCCAAATGGCCAACAGACACATGAAAAAATGTTCAAGATCACTAGCAATCAGGGAAATGCAAATCAAAACCACAATGAGGTTCACCTCACCCCAGTTAGAATGGCTCACATTCAGAAATCTACCAACCATAGATGCTGGAGAGGATGTGGGGAAAAAGGGACACTAACCCACTGTTGGTGGGAATGCAAGCTGGTTAAGCCACTATGGAAGTCAGTCTGGAGATTCCTCAGAAACCTGAAGATAACCCTACCATTCAACCCAGCCATCCCACTCCTTGGAATTTACCCAAAGGAAATGAAATTGGCAAACAAAAAAGCTGTCTGCACATTAATGTTTATTGCAGCTCAATTCACAATAGCTAAGACCTGGAACCAACCCAAATGCCCATCAACAGTAGACTGGATAAAGAAATTATGGGACATGTACTCTATAGAATACTATACAGCAGTCAAAAACAATGAAACCCAATCATTTGCAACAAGATGGAGGAATTTGGAAAACATCATGCTGAGTGAATTAAGCCAGTCCCAAAGGGACAAATATCATATGTTCTCCCTGATTGGCGACAACTAACTGAGCACCAAAGGGGAAACTTGTTGAAGTGAAATGGACACTATGAGAAACAGTGACTTGATCAGCTCTTGTCCTGATGGTTGATGTACAATGTAATACTTTATCCATTTTAGTATTTTTTTTGTTCTAGTACCATTGGTTGAACTCTGCAATTAACACACAATTATTCGTAGGTGTTTAAATTTTAACTGAAAAGTTATCCCTGTTAGGAATTTGGAAAACATTCTGTTGAGTGAAATAAGCCAATCCCAAAGGGACAAATACCATATGTTCTCCTTGATAGGTGACAACTAACTGAGCACCAAAAAGGAAACCTGTTAAAGTGAAATGAACACTATGAGAAACGGTGATTTGAAGCCCTCTTCCTGACTGTTGATGAACAGCTTAATATGTTATCCATCTTAGTATTTTTTTGTTTGTTTGTTCTACTTTTGGTTGATAAAAATATGCAGAAAGTATTTCAGTGGTAAAGTATGTGAATGACACCATATGTGTAGGAATAAATTCTATAACTTGACTTTGACAATAGATATGCTTATTGAATTGAACTATAAAAACAATTTGAATTTTCACGTGGTCCATCCTCACCTACACAGAGAGGTGGAGAACTCCATTTTCCCATGTGGCACGTTATTCCATCTCTTCCCGATATGCCGAAACCATCTTCACAAACATAGCTTAATTTAGTGCCATGTGGGTAAACTCTGCCTTCCCCTTCTTTTGGAAATATAGATGATCTAATTCTTCCATGGTCTACGTCAGGCGGTTTAGAACATGGGCTTTTTTCTATATGAAGAAGAGAAATCAAGGATAAAACCCAAATAAGATGTTTAAAATGAAAAACAAAATCAACTAATATTTGGGAGTTTAAAATAAGTGTAATTTGAACAAATAGTCAAAAATTTAAATATTGAAACTTTCAAGGATATATGTGTCATTTTTCTAGTATCAACCTTTTGGTCAATATCCCCTTTCATCTGTGTCCTTTTTGTTGTGAGGAGTAAAATATGCATAAATAGATACTTTACATAGTATTTACAGAATATCCCAAGGTTTGTAATCTCAGTTTTGCTCACAGGAGTGAAAACAGTGACAATTATACTTCATGTTCTTTCTATCATGATGTAAGGTTTCAAGATAAAATATATATAAAATATTTTCAATATAAAATATTCTTTTCATTACACAAAGCACTGGGGAGACTTAACAGCATTGGAAGGAATTAACAAAAGAAGTTATAGAGTACTGACCAGCACAGCGTGGTATTGATTGCCATCTTCCATCTTTGCACACAATTTCCTCTGCTCCTTGAATTAGATAATTTTCTTGACAAAGAATAGACATTTTTTCTCCATCCTGATAATTCACTGTGGTTGTCACATTTTGAGAATAGGGAATCTGAGGTGGTGGTGGGCATGGTTGTATTTTTACTTCTAAAAAATATTAAAATTATTTCTAACTCCACCATTTGGGGCAAGTCCGATTGAACATGTCCCAAATTGTACATCTCCTCCCTCTCTTATTCCCACTCATATATTTAACAGGGATCACTTTTCAGTTAAATTTAAACACCAAAGAATAAGTGTGTGTTGATTACAGAGTTCAACCAATATTATTAACTAAAACAAAAAAAATACTAAAAGGGATAAAGTATTAAATTGTATATCAACAGTCAGAACAAGGGCTGATCAAGTCACTGTTTCTCATAGTGTCCATTTCACTTCAACAATGTCATCTCACTAGTCTAAGTGATCAATTTCAGTTCACAATTGATCACATTAATAGGTCTAAGAGTCAAAGGGATCACACAAACAAGACCAGTGTCTGCTAATACTAACTGATAGAATAAAAAAGGGAGAGAACGATCCATCATGGGAAGTGGGATACACAGCAGACTCTTAGAATGGCAGATGTCCTAAACAGCACTCTGGCCTCAGAATCAGCCCTGAAGGCATTCAGATCTGGCTGAAGAGCCCATGAGAGTATTTTAGGCATGGAAAGCCAAGACACTGTGGCAAAAAAAAAAAAAAAAAAAAAAAAAAAAAAACACAAACCTAAATGGAAGATCTCTGTGAGTGAGATCCCAGGATCCCAGTAGAAAGAATGGGCCATCAAAGAAGGAGGTACCTTTCTCTGAAGGGAGGAGAGAACTTCCACTTTGACTATGGCCTTGTCTAAATAAAATCAATGTTCGTGAACTCAAAAGGCTTCCATAGCCTTGGCAACTCATGACAAGAGCCTAACGAGATTACTGATGCCATAAACAAGAGTGTCAATTTGTTAAGTCAACAACAGGAGTCACTGTGTACTTACTCCTCATGTAGGATCTCTGTCCTTAATGTGTTGTTCAATGTGAATTAATGCTATAACTAGTACTCAAACAGTATTTTACACTTTATGTTCTGTGTGGGTGCAAACTGGTGAAATCTTTACTTAATATATACTGAATTGATCTTCTGTATATAAAGATAATTGAAAATGAATCTTGATGTGAATGCAATGGGAGAGGGAGCAGGAGATGGGAGGGGTGCGGGTGGGAGGGACGTTATGGGGGGGGGAAGCCATTGTAATCCTTAAACTGTACTTTGGAAATTTATATTTACTAAATAAAAGTTTAAAAAATATATTAAAATTAGATTTCTTGAGTAAAATAATGACTTAAAAGTATTAAATGATAATTGTCAATAAATAAAAACATCAATAACAATGATAATATACTATCATAAATTCTCAATATTCTATATATGTATGCTATACTTTTCAGCTTTATGGCAGCTTATCAGCTTAAAAATGACTTTTAATAATAAATAACTAAATTTTTTTAAGATACTATTCTCACAAATGAGAAAGCAATAAAATTAATGTTGTAAAAAACGGCTTACCTGTACAAGTTAGTTTGGGATCCCATCTCCCATTTATGCAGATTGAGTGTTTATTTCCTGATTTTCCCCAACATCTGTAACTTATTTTGGTGTTATGATTAAATTCATTCTTATTTGGTAGGTTTGTCTCACTTGCAATTGAATCTGGTACTACACACTTCTCAAGTTGATCTGTCGCTATAAAGTGAAATATTTCCATGCAAAGACTAATTAAGAATCAAATAATGACATAAAATAGCCATTTAGTCAGTGTATAACAACATTATGATTTATTTCCTGAGATTCCATCAACTGAATTAGTCCTGGTCGGATTGCATAATGCAAGCTGTTATGTGTGAACCTAAGTTCCATTCTTAGGACTGGAGTCTTGAGCAAGACAAACGAGTTGTTTGAGAGGTGGAGAGAAACCTAAGGCCAGAGGAGAGGTGGTGGTGGTGCTGGTTATGGTCTGTGCATGACTGGTTTCTGCAAGATTTTCTTTGTTTGTTGGGAAAAATTAAAAACCTAAACTAGGAGCTAGCATTGTGGCACAGCAGGCTGATCCATTATCTTGCTGATTGGAGTCCCAGCTGCTCCACTTCCATCAAGCTTCCTGCTAATGCACCTGGGAGAGCAGTGGAAGATGGCCAAGTCCTTGGGCCTCTGCCAGCTGTGTGGGAGGCCTTGAAAGAGTTCCTGGCTCCTGGATTTGACCTGGCCCAGCCCTGGCTGTTGTTACCGTTTGTGAAGCAAACCACTGGATGGAGATACCTCTTTTTCCCTCTCTTGCTCATTTGCCATTTCTCTCTCTTTCTCTCTCTCTCTCTGGCTTAAAAGAAAAAAAAACTAAGCTAGTATAAGGTACAAAATAGACACTGGGAAGGAAAAATTCGAGTAAGGTCTATAACAGACAAGAAGAACTTCTAATGAGCCTAATATGGGTAGGAGTCTAGCATTAAGAAGGAAATCTCTGACATTGGAAGAAATAATGACTCAAAGAAAGTTTTGATGTAAGTTAGAATGAAGAATTGAGTTTCATATCTGATAGCAGCTTGAGTGTTCACTCCACGTGTAGTAAAGTGAAATCATTTGGGAGAGAGAAGAGGACAAGATAAGGTTAGGACTTGAAGGATTGGCAGTATTTTTGACAGGACTGTAACGATTAATCCAACAACTTTTATTGACTCATTCGACGAACTCCTGTTGAGCATCTCCTATACATCAAACAGTCTTGTAGATGTTGGAGATACATCTGTGAGCGAAACATGTGTAAATCCAGCCTTGCCTTGAGGCTCCGTCTTTCCCTGGGATAAATTAACAGCTGGAGATGTGATGGATGAAATCAATTAGGTTGGCTAGCCCTGACTCTCTGAACGCTGGATTCGAGAATGTTCTAGGAAGAGCTCAGCCTACAAGAAAAGTGAATGAGGGCTCCCAAGAGCCTCCCAGTCACACATTGAAGACTAGATCATCAAAAGGGTGGGTACATTTCTCTCTAAAACAGACAGACTCCCCGTCCCACCACACACACACACACACACACACACACACAGAAAAACAAGACCAAAAACCTAGAACATGGCATTCGGTATCTTTTCCCCATAAAGACATGATAAATGTTGAGGAGATAGATACATTTGCCAGATTGGTCAATATACAATGTTTACATGTTTGAAAATCATACCATACCTCATAAAATTTGTAACCTTTTTATATGCCTGTTAAAAAGTTCTCTTTTAATCAAAATTTTTAAAACTGATTCAGTCAAAGAGTAAAGTCCATCAGTGAGCTAGGTCTCCTGGCCTAGTCCCCTGCTGCCCTGTGCCACCAAGTTATGCTCATGACTTAGAGTGCCTATGGCCCATCGTGCAGTACATTCACTTCTATTCACTGTGTTTGGAACAGACTGCGAAATCATTGCTGTTAGAAGCTTTGAGAGAGGAGGGAATCCTATGTGAAGGTTACAAATGGATATTTTGTCAACTTTATTTCTTGGCTTACCAGGACTTCAAAGAGTATCTCATAAGGTCTTCCTTCCGTTGGTTCACCCCCAAAATGGCTGCTAATGGCTGGCGCGCTGCGCCAATCTGAAGCCAGGAGCCAGGTGCTTCCTCCTGGTCTCCTATGTGGGTGCAGGGCCCAAGCACTTGGGCCATCCTCCACTGCCTTCCCGGGCCTCAGCAGAGAGCTGGACTGGAAGAGGAGCAACCAGGACAGAATCTGGCGCCCTGACGGACTAGAACATGGTGTGCCGGCGCCGCAGGCGGAGGATTAGCCTAGTGAGCAATGGTGCTTGCCACAGAGTATCATATAGTAACTCAATGATATCCATGTAAAATGACTAGTTTATTGGTAATTAATACTAACTAGTGCATACAACACTAATATTTTATATTTTATTAATACATGTAATTGTAATTATAATTTATAAGTAAAATTTGGCTTCACATTTATAAGATAAACAATATTTACCCCAGGGAGAAAAAAATTCACAAAACTCTATTGCTAGTTCTATATTTCCTCTTTAGGCACGTATTCACTTATCATGAACAAAATCTGTAATCATTGCTCTTAAGACTGGGTATTTTCAGCAATATCCTTAACTTTCAAAATGATGCTGCAAATATTATTTTTCTAATAAAATAGAAACATCATTAAATATACTTATATAATTATTATTATGGTTTAGTATTCTTAAATATTCTCACCAACACACTGAGGAAGTTGAGTCCATGTTCCTTTAATGCATGTAATTGATCTGTGTCCAATCATTGTAAATGTTTCTCTGCAGCTGAACGCCACTGAATCTCCATGGTGATAGGGAGGGGCAGAAGGCTCAACGTAGCCATGCTCCAGTTCAGGTATATCTCCACATGTGCTTTCCTCCTCTGTGGAAATTTCATGAAAATGTAGTTATAGATAAACAGAGTTTGTGTTAGGAAAACAAAAACTGTTTCAATATTAATAACTGTATATTTTACCAATACACGTTGGTAAGGTCGTCCACTTCCCATCAACACACTCAATTTTATGAGGCCCCTTCAACAGAAATTTAGAATTGCAAACATATTCCACTACCTCACTGTGTTCATATTCTTCTTTCTTTGTTCCTTTAACTTGTCCATTGAGGAGCTGAGGAGGTGAACTACATGATTGTACTTGCCCTAGAGTAGAAATATTGTAAATATTGGTTAAATTGTCTATTTTATAATTTAAAAAACAATGAAATGGATATAGTTCAAAAACTATTGGAAATTATTTTCTGAAGCAAGGAAACCTGAGGAGTCTGTCCCCCAGCACATGTCTTTTACAGAACCCTCTCGGAGTTAATGCATCAGCGTTCACATAAGGACATGCTGGAAGCTCACAGAAATTAGGAGAGGGAGAGCAGTTAGGATATTCAAAATCTGACTTCTTGGTTCAGCAATTGTAAGATAAATAATCACCTTTACATGTTGGAACATTAGGGGACCATCCAAAGTGGTAACACTGTATTGAATCTGGTCCCACTCTTCTAAGTCCCGCTCTGCAGGTGAATTTCAGCACGTCTCCAACTCTGTATTTTTCGTTCTTGGGATCAATAACAAATACCTCTTTTCCTACTTGAGGAACCCTGCATTCTCTTTCTAAAAACATAAAGTAGTTTAATGAGAATATATAATTAATCTTCGCCAAAGTCAGCTTTAAATGTATCATATAAATATGAACAGATACTCAGTGATGGATATACTGGGGGAATCAGATAAATTCTCTTCCTGGGAAAACTGTTATACATGGTTATCCACCCTGCAAATTCCTATGGGACTCTGAGAAACAGTGTTTACTCCTTTGGCTAGAAACATTCTACATGAGCTCATCTTCCCCCCTTTCCCCTTCTAATCCTGGAAAACAGAGAGCTGATTGTCAAATATAAAAGAGATTCCTGTAATTATCCATATAACTTGTCATAGAAAGAAAAAGAAGTATCCTTATGATCTGCAGAAACTAGTAATCAAAGTAGAAGGTGAAAAGTAGAATCTTAGGGGGCCGGTACAGTGGCATAGCAGGTAAAGCGGCCGCCTGCCTGCCAGCATCCCATATGGGCACTGGTCGAGTCCTGGATGCTCACTTCCCATCCAGCTCTCTGCTATGGCCTGGGAAAGCAGTACAAGATGGCCCAAGTCCCAGGGCCCCTGCACCCATGTGGGAGACCCAGAAGAAGCTCCTGGCTCCTGGCTTCGGATGCGGACACTTGGGGAGTGAATCAGCGGATGGAAGACCTCTCTATTTCTCTGTCTCTCTTCCACTTATCTTCTCTTTGTAACTCTGACTTTCAAATAAATAAATAAATCTTAATAAAAAGTAGAAATTCAGGAGTAAATAGAAGAGGAAGTTGTAACAAACCATGTTGATCATTGATGCCCAGTTTTAAGTCATTTGAAAGCTTACATTTAATGTAATGAAGCCAATTCTTTTCTAATCAGAAAACTGTGATGGATATAGTCCATAGGAAACATTAATTTTGGGTGGTATTTTAAAAATAGATTATTGTCTTTTGGCTTCAGAAGACCTACTTCTCCCAGTTTACAACAAATCAGAACGAAATACGTTGACTTCATCCTTGTTGCATGTTAAAATGCTACTAGAATATTAAAAAATTGGGACACAAAAAGTTACTCAAAAAAAATTCATGAACACTCAATACTCACCATAACAAGTAGGTAAATCTGTCCAACCATGGTAACCACATTCTATGGTGCCTTTGCTGTGTCCATCCATGTTTTCATATCCATCATGGCACTCATAGTCCAATTTGTCACCAAGCTTATACCATTTGCTATTGGTTTTGGGTCTGGAATTCTCAAAATCTGGCATGTCACAAGATTCTAATACATAATAAAATATAATATTTCACTTCACATGTAATTCAGTGGGCAATCTAAGGAACATTTAAACTAAGAAAAAAAGGCTTTATCAATTAGTATTGCTAATTTAATAAATACTGCATAAAGATTATCTAAGAAAACTAATGTGATAGTACTGCTGGTAATAAAAGAGGCCATTATAAATATAAAGACTTTTTAAAGGAAACCAGAATAGCATTTTGTGAATTAAGCTGTCAAACTTAATTGTTCTGACATACATAAAACAGAAAAAAAATGAGTACAAAGATTGAGGTATCTTATTTTTTTTTGTTTGTTTGTTTTTATTTTTGACAGGCAGAATGGACAGTGAGAGAGAGAGAGACAGAGAGAAAGGTCTTCCTTTGCCGTTGGTTCACCCTCCAATGGTCGTCGCGGCCGGCGCGCCGAAGGCAGGAGCCAGGTGCTTCTCCTGGTCTCCCATGGGGTGCAGGGCCCAAGCACTTGGGCCATCCTCCACTGCACTCCCGGGCCATAGCAGAGAGCTGGCCTGGAAGGGGGGCAACTGGGACAGAACCGGCGCCCTAACCGGGACTAGAACCCGGTGTGCCAGCGCCGCTAGGTGGAGGATTAGCCTATTGAGCCACGGCACTGGCCAGATTGAGGTATCTTATAACAGATGTTTCCTGTTTTTTAAAAAGAACGTTTCAGGTAGATTATTTGTCATAATGTAGTACAGAATGAGTTTTATATGAGGATATTTTATCAATTTTTATTTAGCTAGAACTCATAATAAGCATAGAAATTAGAAATATTAAAACAGCAGGAATGGGTAGTCTAACTCTCCATTTCATTAATAGCTTGTTAAATATCACTTCAAAAATATCTTGGAATACATTGGGGATAAATAAGATAAACTGAACTAACTCCTCTTGGAAAATCTGTACTAACATTTGGGTAATGTGATGAAAAATCTTTCAACACAGCAAAAGTTGGTACCACCTTGAAATATTTCTTTCTTTCTACTATCTAGATATTGATGAAGATTTTCTAAGAGGAAGGGTATTCAGAAATGTACCTACCAAACAGTAAAAAAACATAAAGATCAGATTTTTCTGAGGTTGTATACTATGGCAACATACCACCAAAAACATTACTTTTATGTGTATGGAGCAAAAACTTTGATATTAAAAGGCTGATCACCTAAAAACAGGCATATTTAACATTCACAAAAGTCTCAGCTAAAAACAAGTGCATGTACACCAGAAACAGCTAAGCTCCCTAACCTGTTTCCAAATCACAGGATGATTTAAATGAAAAAAAAAAAAAACAAACCTGAACTAGCATTGATATTCTACCATATTAGTATCTAATCTTAAAAGGAAGAATACATATATGATTTTTTTCTCAAAGTTTTTTTTGAATAAAATCACTTATGCCCTCAACCCCCTAAAAAACAAAATAAAACTGAAGTAACTTTATCCTGTCATAAATAATATGAATAAATAATGGGATATGAACGTGTACATTACTCACTAATGCATGTGGGTTGATGGGACCATCCACTCTGCAGACATGTGACTGATCCTGATGTTTCACCATCTGTGGTTACATATCCTGGCTTACACCTGTATTCTGTTTTTCTGTTTAGGGCATATGTAAAATCAAATTCAGACATAAACCCATTCTCCACTTCGATATCTGATTTTGAACATGTTTCTAAAAGAGAAAAAAAGCAAGAAAAGATAGCAATATGTTTAATTATACTTACATTGACTTACATTGACTTTAATACTATTAAGATGCCCATGTAAGAACAATGAGTCATGTATAAATAAAAACCTGGATTAAGTATAATTGTTAAGTTCTTATGTCTAAGAAAAAAAGCTATGAGTTTCCAAACATAGTTGTTCAAGACACTTCATGAAATTTAATGGTTTTCTTACAGAAATCAACAAGCAAATGCTGGTGAGGATGTAGGGGAAAAGGTACCCTAATCCACTGCTGGTGGGAATGTAAACTGTGCAGCCACTGTAGAAGACAGTATGGAGATACCTCAGATATCTGAAGATGGACCTGCCAAATGACCCAGCTGTTCCACTCCTGGGAATTTATCCAATTTATCCTTGTTTGCTGATACCTGTCGATTGTTATTTTCATCTTTTTACTCCAGTTTCCTCATTGTGGCTGGAACTCGGTTTTTATTGATTATTTTTGCCTGATGTGTACCAATTTTATTACACTTCTTTACAAGCTTTACCTGTGTTAATTGCCTCCAATATTTTATCTTCTCATTATCTGAAGGAAATGAAATCAGCATATGAAAGTGCTCTCTGTAGCCCATGTTTATGGCAGCTCAATTCACATTAGCTAAAATACGGAATAAACTCAGATGACCATCAACTGAAGACTGGATAAAGAAATCATTGTTTATGTGCACCATGGAATACTATACAGCAGTGAAAAAATGAAATCCTGAGGCTTACAACAAAATGGAAGCAACTGGAAACCATTGTACTTAGTGATTAGCCAGTCACAAAAAGACAAATACCATATGTTCTATCTGATCTGTGGCAACTAAGAGTACCTCAAAGGTGATCCACACAAATGAAATAGAAATAGAAATGAAATTGACACTTTGAGATGCAATGCTTTTCAGCTGCCCCGGCTTGACTGCTGAGGATCAGTGTTTTTTTTCTTTTTCTTAATACCATTTGTTAAATTTTAATTATATTTTGACCAAAAAGTATCCAAATAACCTAAAGTACAGAGCCTGCACATGTCCTTGTTATCTGAGACCACCCCCTTAAGTTAGACCTCCCAGGTGTATATGAGTATAACTAACATATGATTTGAATGTGTCTACCACTAGAATTCAAATAAAGTGTCATTACTGAATTTTTTGAACACTGCATGATGCTGTAGTGCTTGGACCTGGATTTCCTTTAATTTGTTTGACAAAGAATCAGATGCTAAACTTAACAGCATGTTAGTACCTCTAAATACTACGGATCAAATTGCCAAGAATATTCCAGGATAAATTTCTCCATCTCCTCACTTATGAAAAGGAGGGAGAATATTGTTGACCAAAGGGAAGCCACTAGGTGCATACTATAAAAAGGATCTCATAAGAGCAGTCTTCAGGGTCTTCATAGAGAAGAGGAATCTAAAACTCAAAAACAAAAACAAGGTCAGGCTAAATACCAGCTACTTGCTTCCACACTTCCAAGGAGCCAAAAAACACCCTGGCCAACACTCTCTAAAACCCCTGGGGCTGGCTTCAAGTGTGGCAAGGAAGGACACCCAGCAAGCCTACCCGTCCCCAAGCTCTCTTGAGGCCATGCCCAGCATGTGGGGACAGGGTACACTGGAAGTCCCAGTGCCCCTTTCTCTGGAGTCAGAGTCACTCCTTCCAACCCCAGACTCGAACTGACGATCTTTCCCCAGAGTGCTGTGGATTCCCCAGGCCTGGGTTCAAAGGCCCCCATTATTTTAATCCATTCTTTTTTTTTTTTTTTTTTCACAGGCAGAGTGGACAGTGAGAGAGAGAGACAGAGAGAGAAAGGTCTTCCTTTGCCGTTGGTTCACCCTCCAATGGCCGCCGCTGCAGCCGGCGCACCGCGCTGATCCGATGGCAGGAGCCAGGATCCAGGTGCTTTTCCTGGTCTCCCATGGGGTGCAGGGCCCAAGAACCTGGGCCATCCTCCACTGCACTCCCTGGCCATAGCAGAGAGCTGGCCTGGAAGAGGGGCAACCGGGACAGAATCCGGCGCCCCGACCGGGACTAGAACCCGGTGTGCCGGCGCCGCAAGGTGGAGGATTAGCCTATTGAGCCACGGCGCCGGCCTCAAAGGCCCCCATTATTGCCATCACCAGTGAGAACCCAGCGTTTGTCTCATAGTTACAGTTGAGTTGATATCCTTCGTCCTGGACATGGCTGGGCAACTTTTTTGTTCTTACAAGAATCATGTGACCTTTAGCCACTTCCTCTCTCTCTCTATTGAAGTAGGGTTGAAAATGGCCAAATTCGCAGCCACTCATGACTCAACCTCATACTTGCTCAAAAGGATCCACCATGTTCACTCACAGCATCTATGTCTTACATACCTGTCCCACTCTGCTCCTTGGGTGGGGCATATGGACCAAGCAAATTTCCACCATTATCCTGCACACTTGCACTCTCCCTTACCCTCTGTCCTACTGCTAGCCCCCTCTCCGAATACCCCAAATCTCTCAGGAATGCCATATATCCTTTCCAGCCAGGTAGACCCTCCTACTAGGACACTCAGCATCCTTCAGTTGCCTTTTAGCACAGCCCACGAAGATTCCCTCAAAAACACTTCCCAACCTCAATAGCCCTTCAACCCAGAAGCCATACAAGGGCTTCAACTTATAATCACTAGACTTCCAACTAAATCCCCTTATAATACTCCTATTCTCCTTGTCAAATTGAAGAGGAAGACACAGCCACTCACTGAACCGTAAGACTTCTTCAAACTCAAAGTGTGATCTGAGAGAGTTCTATGATACTCTGCTGATCCTTCTCAAAACCTGCCACCACTACCTCCCTCCAATCAAAACTAAAACTGCTTAAATCCTGTGGGGCTGTTTTCTCCAGAGTGATTTGGTTGATTATATGCTTTTTAAAAAGATTTATTTATTTGAAAGATAGTTACAGAGAGAAGAGCTGGGCCCAGCTGAAGCGAGGTGCCTGGAGTCTTCTTGCGGTTCTCCCACATGGGTGCAGGAGCCCAAGCACCTTACCTTCTTCTGCTGCTTTCCCAGGCCGTAGCAGAGCACTGGACCAGAACTGGAGCAGCTGATACTCAAACCAGCGCCCATATGCGATTCTGGCACTGCAGGAAGAGGCTTTACCTGCTAAGCCACAGCGCCAGTCCCAATTATACTTTTTAAATTTTATTTATTCATTGGAAATCAGAGTTACACAGAGAGAAGAAGAGACAGAGACAGAGAGAGAGAGACCTCTCATCTGCTGATTCACTGCCAAAATACCCACAAATTCTGAGGCTAGGCCAGGCTGAAGACAGCAGTCAAGAGCTTCTTCAGATCTCCCACATGGGTTCAGGGGCCCAACCACTTGGGCCCTTTTCCACTGCTTTCTCAGGTGCACTCATAGGGAGCTGGGTCAGAAGTGGAACAGGCAGGTCTCTAACTGCACCCAAACAGCATCACAGCCAGCAGCTTTACTCTCTGCTCCACCACGAAACCCACTTGATTGCACTTCTGCCTGCCTTTCTCTCTGCTTGGGTGGTCCTTTCAGTCTGAGCCCAGATACTCAAAGATGATTCCCAAGCTGGTTTCCTGTCCAATACCCTGTCTCTCTCCAGCTCGGCCCCATGGCAGAAGTTTCTCACCACATAGCCCTTAGAGGGCACACTGCCTCTCATTTCTCCCTTGTAAATACCACAAACACTAATCTTACAGAGGACAGCTGATTATGCCTCTTCTTATCCTCATCCTCTTGTATCACCCTCTTCACCCTACAATCCACTTGGGTTGAATCAAGGACACAATTACCCTAGGAAATAAGCTTCCTGAGCAATACAATGCAAATGCAAGATGATCAGCCCCTCTGATCACCCGTCTCACCAGGAAAATTTCAACACCTCTCCCCAGGCTAATGGCAAATACATCACACCAGTCCTGTTTCCTGGCTCCTTCTGTCTGATTCTGACTTTTCTAATTCTAACTCCCTGTTCTGTGCATACCATCCCATAGGTAGTATAGCTTATTTCCCTGGCACCCTACCTTAAATATTCACATGACACAGGCCTCCTTCCAAATAAAATGTGTTCACATAAAAGGGACCCTCTTCCTTTGTGGAACCAACACTTACATCTGCCTCCCTACTAACTATTCTGGAATTTGCACTATTGTCTTTGTCTTTTAATGGCATCATGGCCCCCAATAACCAATCTCTACCTGTTTCCCTTTCTACAAGCCTTCATTGTAAAATAGCTATCTTCCCAAAACCCGTCCTAGCAAGATTCAGAATTGCCACCAGCTGGGCATGGGGTAGCAGGACTTAGTACATCCCTCTCCAATGAGCAAGCTCTTTATAAAAATGCAAAAGAAAAAGAGTCTCTGTTTATACCTACAGAAAAAAAATTTATTTTTGGACAGGTAGAGTGGACAGTGAGAGAGAGAGACAGAGAGAAAGGTCTTCCTTTGCCGTTGGTTTACCCTCCAATGGCCGCCGCGGCTGGCGCGCTGCAGCCAGCACACCGCGCTGATCCGAAGGCAGGAGCCAGGTACTTATCCTGGTCTCCCATGGGGTACAGGGCCCAAGCACTTGGGCCATCCTCCACTGCATTCCCTGGCCACAGCAGAGAGCTGGCCTGGAAGAGGGGCAACCGGGACAGAATCCAGCGCCCCGATCGGGACTAGGCGGATGATTAGCCTAGTGAGCCACGGCCCCAGCAGAATGTTGTTTTTATGTGAAACAATCTGGTCTCACACATCATGCCACTCACAACAGGTAGGACATCCAAATTCAACAATGTTGTCTGATCCTTTATGTATGTAATCCTTGGTATTAATATATAATCCTTAATATAAGCATATATAAAAATGTAATATTATGTAATCCTTCTATTAATCTATGAATCCTTAACATATGTAAAATATACAGCTGGTTTCAAAAATCCTTCTTGCTGGAGAAGAGTATTAGGAAATGATGAACATACTGAGGTCTCAGAGCAATTTACTTACTGACGCGTATGCACTTGGGGAGAGGGGACCAGCCATTCTCTGTACATGTGATTTCGGTCTGCTCATTTGGAAGACTATATCCCGGATAGCAGTCGACTTTTACAGATTGATTCTGTATATAAGCTCTTTCTGAAGACGGACGATATCCATTTTCCACATAACTGAAAGTACATTTTCCTAAGGATCATAAAAATGTTTTAAAAGGTAAGAGTAGTAATTTGGTCAAAATCGTAAGTTATAAATTACCTTTATAATATTTAAATGATAAAGTACATGTATCCAAAAATAATCTATAGTTAAGAAACACTGAAATACTATGAATGCTTATTAAAAAAGAAAGATCAATATTCCATGCTATGTATCTTTAGTTTTCATAATTGCTATATACATAAAAGGTATAGAGATTCTTGTAAAAAATCTCTATATTTGTCACATGATTTTTATGAAGAGCTCTTTATAAAAGAAAAATCTGTTGAGGTCTTTTGTTGTAGAATTTTTCCTTCATTTTATTTTTCATATTTATTTGTCTATTTCTCAGTTTATTTATTTATTTGAGAAGCTGAGAGAGAAGGAGAGTGAGAGAGATAGCGACAGGAGGGGGAGCTTCCATCCATTGGCTCACTCTTCCACTGTCTGCAATAGCTGGGAATGGGCCAGCTGAAGCCAGGAGCCAGAAACCCAATCCAAGTCTGCCACATGGGTGACATGCATCCGGCTACTTGAGCCATCCACTGCTGCATCCAGGAATGCACATTCACAGGAAGCTGGAATTGGGGGCACAACCAGGATGCAAACTCAGAAACAGGAAGCGAGTGATCCAGAGGTGTCTGACCACTAGGCGAAGGCTCACCTTCCTGGGTTCTGTTCTTGTCATGCAAGCCTTAGTTGTTAGCACTAATGTGCTCCTCTTTGCACTCTTGGGAATATTTATGTAAATCTAACTGCTAAGACAGGTACTTACTGAGACAGGGCACTTCGGGTGACCATCCTTCTTTGGTGCAATGAATGTAATCCCAGTATGAATTTGAAGGAGTCACAAAATCGGGGTTGCAGTGATAGCTATAATAGTTTCCTACAGCTACTGGAAAGTATGGTCTATATCTGTCTTCATAATACAGACGTCCATGATTTATTTGTGGAAAATCACAGGGTTTCACTTTCAATAAGAAACAAAAAAAGTACAAATAATCTTTTACTTTATAGAACAATCACATCAGAGTTGAATCATTTGGTCAATGAATTATATTCTCTTGATACCATAATTACACCCATTGAAATAAGGTTTTTAGAATAAGGCAAGTTATAGAATTCAGATGACTGGGGGGGACTCTTTGTTAATGAAAATGAAAATGTGTCTTGTCATTCACAAGGACCTACAAACTAGTATAAAGCCTTCAGAAAAAAAAGGTACAGACTTATACTACAAATTCTCCTCGAGTACATATGACATATCCTCACTCCGGCTAATTAAATGAACATTCTTGTTAAGAGGTGAAGGCATGGATCTTACCTTCCAGTTCATACCTTTCTTTTTTAAATTTTCAATTCTCATCAGAAATCAGAACCCTCCTTTTATCATAAAAATGCAATATAGGGAGATAGCATTTTGGTTTTGTTTTGTTTTAAATTTTTTATTTTTCTTTTTACTTCAGACAATGTAAGAAATATAGAGAAACAAAAAAAATTTCTTTTGATTGTACCAAAAATATATCAAACACAGTATAAAGAAGAAAGTTAATAGCAATTATTGCCCACATCAACACTTGGAAAGGTATCAAATAAAGAATCTAGGCCAGCGCTGTGGCTCACAAGGCTAATCCTCCACCTGCATTGTCGGCACCCTGGGTTCTAGTCCATGTCAGGGTGCTGGTTCTGTCCCAGTTGCTCCTCTTCCAGTCCAGCTCTCTGCTGTGGCCTGGGAAGGCAGTGGAGGATTGCCCAGGTCCTTGGGCCCTGCACCTGTATGGGAGACCAGGAGGAAGAACCTGGCTCCTGGCTTCGGATCTGTGCAGCTCTGGCCGGCCATAGCGGCCACCTGGGGGGTGAACCAATGGAGGGAAGATTTTTCTCTGTTTATCTCTCTCACTGTCTAATTCTGCCTGTCAAAAAAAAAAAAAAAAATCTAACAAGGCATTTCATAAACCTGAAGAACAAGGACAAACAAAATTCATAATTTGAGAAGGAAATAAATAATAAAATTAGAGAATAATTAAAAAGAAATAAAAATTATAAAAATCAGTGAAATTAAGAGCTGTTTTTTGAAAACAAATAAACAAAATTGATAAAAGATTGGCTCATATAACCAAAGCAAAAACAAAAAAGGAAGAAGGCCCAAATTACTAAAATCGGATATAAAAACGGTGGGCCGGCGCTGTGGCGAAGTGAGTTAAAGCCTTGGCCTGAAGTGCCGGCATCTCATATGGGTGCTGGTTCTAGTTCTGGCTGCATCTCTTCCTATCCAGCTCTCTGCTGTGGCCTGGGAAAGCAGTGGAGGATGGCCCAAGTGCTTGGGCCCCTGCACCCACGTGGGAGACCCAGAAGAAGCTCCTGGCTCCTGGTTTCAGAGCAGCACAGCTCCGGCCATTGCAGCCATCTGGGGAGTGAACCAATGGATAGAAGACCTCTCTCTCTGTCTCTACCTCTCTCTATAACTCTATTTTTCAAATAAATAAAATAAACTTTAAAGAAAAAGAAATGAAAAGGGAAACAGCAAGTGATGCCACAGGAATGGAAAAAATTAGGAATTGTTTCAATTAGCTATATGTCAATAAATTGGAAAATATAATAGAAATGAATGTATTTCTGGAGAGATACAGTTTACCAAAACTGTGGCATGAGAACATGGAAAGTGTGAATACATCAATAACCAAGACTGATACTGAGTCAGCAACAAAAACTTGTTCAATAAAGAAAAGCCCAAGACCTGATGGTTTCACTGCTGAATTTTACTGAACTTTTAAGGAAGAACTAATCCTAATTCATCTATTTTATTTATTTATTTATTTACTTACTTACTTACTTATTTATTCATTTGAAAGGTACAGCTAAAGAGAGGGAGGGAGGAATAGAAAGAGGGAGGGAAGGAGAGAGAGAGAGAGAGAGAGAGAGAGAGAGAGAGACTGATCTTCCAACTGCTGGATCACTCCCCAAATCGCTACAGCAGCCAGGCCTGGGTCAGGCTGAAGCCAGGATCTAGACTCCACCAGGGTCTCACATGTGGGTGGCAGTGACCCAAGTTTTCCCAGGCCGTGAGCAGGCAGCTGGATTGGAAGTGGAGCAGCTGGGACACAAACCCGCACCCATATGTGAATCTGGTGCAGCAGATGGCAGCTTAACCCGCTGAGACACAGCACCAGGCCCCCACACCAATTCATCTTAAATTATTCAAAGTAATTAAAAGGAAGGAACTCTTCCAGATTTATTCTATGAGGGCAGCATTACCTTAACTCCAAAACCAGAGAAAGATACAACAGCAAAGAGAACTATAGAGCAATATCACTGATGAATACAGATGTAAAATTCCTCAACAAAAGATAGTAAACTGAAGTCAACAAAACATTAGAAAGATCATCCGCACAGAACAAGTGGGATTTATCCTAGGGATGCAGGGATGGCTCAACAAACAAGAGTCAATAAACAGGATACATCATATCAACAAAATGAAGGAAAATAAACATGATTCTCTCAACAGCTGCAGAGAACGCATTTGATAAAATACAATATCCTTCCATAAAATTAAAATTAAAAATGAGTATAAAAGGAACAAACGTCAACACATTCAAGGCAATATATGATAAACTCACAGCCAGGATCATATTGAATGGAGAAAAGCTGGAAGCATTGCCACCAAGTTCCGGAACCAGACAAGGATGCGCACTTTCACCATTATTATTCAATATATTTCTGTAACTTTTAGCCACATCCATTAGAGAAGAAAAAAAATCAATGGGATATAAAGTGGAAAGCAGGAAGTCAAAATGTACCTGTTTGATTATATGCTTTTTTTTAAAGATTTATTTATTTGAAAGATAATTACAGAGAGAAGAGCTGGGCCCAGCTGAAGCGAGGTGCCTGGAGTCTTCTTGCGGTTCTCCCACATGGGTGCAGGAGCCCAAGCACCTTACCTTCTTCTGCTGCTTTCCCAGGCCGTAGCAGAGCACTGGACCAGAACTGGAGCAGCTGATACTCAAACCAGCGCCCATATGCGATTCTGGCACTGCAGGAAGAGGCTTTACCTGCTAAGCCACAGCGCCAGTCCCAATTATACTTTTTAAGTTTTATTTATTCATTGGAAATCAGAGTTACACAGAGAGAAGAAGAGACAGAGAGAGAGAGAGAGAGCGACGTCTCATCTGCTGATTCACTCCCAAAATACCCACAAATTCTGAGGCTAGGCCAGGCTGAAGACAGCAGTCAAGAGCTTCTTCAGATCTCCCACATGGGTTCAGGGGCCCAACCACTTGGGCCCTTTTCCACTGCTTTCTCAGGTGCACTCGTAGGGAGCTGGGTCAGAAGTGGAACAGGCAGGTCTCTAACTGCGCTCAAATAGGAGGCCAGCATCACAGCCAGCAGCTTTACCCTCTGCTCCACCACGAAAGCCACTTGATTGCACTTTTGCCTGCCTTTCTCTCTGCTTGGGTGGTCCTTTCAGTCTGAGCCCAGATACTCAAAGATGATTCCCAAGCTGGTTTCCTGTCCAATACCCTGTCTCTCTCCAGCTCGGCCCCATGGCAGAAGTTTCTCACCACACAGCACTTAGAGGGCACACTGCCTCTCATTTCTCCCTTGTAAATACCACAAACACTAATCTTACAGAGGACAGCTGATTATGCCTCTTCTTATCCTCATCCTCTTGTATCACCCTCTTCACCCTACAATCCACCTGGATTGAATCAAGGACACAATTACCCTAGGAAATAAGCTTCCTGAGCAATACAATGCAAATGCAAGATCATCAGCCCCTCTGACCACCAGTCTCACCAGGAAAATTTCAACACCTCTCCCCAGGCTAATGGCAAATACATCACACCAGTCCTGTTTCCTGGCTCCTTCTGTCTGATTCTGACTCTTCTAATCCTAACTCCCTGTTCTGTGCAGACCATCCCATAGGTAGTGTAGCTTATTTCCCTGGCACCCTACCTTAAATATTCACATGACACAGGCCTCCTTCCAAATAAAATGTGTTCACATAAAAGGGACCCTCTTCCTTTGTGGAACCAACACTTACATCTGCCTCCCTACTAACTATTCTGGAATTTGCACTATTGTCTTTGTCTTTTAATGGCATCATGGCCCCCAATAACCAATCTCTACCTGTTTCCCTTTCTACAAGCCTTCATTGTAAAATAGCTATCTTCCCAAAACCCGTCCTAGCAAGATTCAGAATTGTCACCCGCTGGGCATGGGGTAGCAGGACTTATTACATCCCTCTCCAATGAGCAAGCTCTTTATAAAAATACACAAGAAAAAGGGTCTCTGTTTATACCTACAGAAAAATGTTGTTTTTATGTCAAACAATCTGGTCTCACCCATCATGCCACTCTCAACAGGTAGGACATCCAAATTCAGCAATGCTGTCTGATCCTTAATGTATGTAATCCTTGGCATTAATATGTTAATCCTTAATATAATGTTTTATTAATTAATGTATATGTAAAATGTAATAATATGTAATCCTTCTATTAATCTATGAATCCTTAACATATGTAATATATACAGCTGGTCTCAAAAATCCTCCTGGGTACCTTGCCATGTGATTCTTCCCACTCCCATGGTGACAATTTTTCTTCTCATATTTCCATTTCTCCTTCTGTTGCTAAAAGAGTACGTTCACTCTGTGATTCAGAACCTCACTCAAACCCGCGCCAAGAACATCCTCCTCCTGAGATGTCCAGTACCTGCCCCTGCCTCACTGTGCTCAGTCCAGTGGGTGGAGGTGAGGGATCACCTCCATAACCACGCTCCTTCTCCCCAGGAAGCAGTCAGTGAGGCTCCTTTGGCCTTTCTTCCCCAACCTCCATAACCCTGTTTCCATAAAATACGCAAGATTTATTGCCTCCCGCCTTTCCTTTCTTCCTTTCTTCCTTCATTCCTTCCTTCCTCTTTCTTTCAATCTTTCTTTCTTCTTTTGACATAATTATAAAATATGCATATTTG